TCTCTTCCTCTCTCTATCTATATATCCTATCTATTCTATCTATTTATCTCTCTTTGCACTTTTAACTTACATATCTTGAGTTTAGTGGTAGTTTTAAAAAACGAGTCTTGCCTTTGGTGAGAGAGGAGTGAGGGGGAGGGTGTGAGGAGGAAGGGAAGCCGCAGGGAATAAGGCTGGGAGAGAGTAAAGGAAGAGAGGTAGTGAGGGAGGGAGGGTTGAAGTAAATTTTAGGGAGTGAATGACTTCAGAGTGAGAGTGTAGACTGTGAGAGAGAGAGAGAGAGAGTGAATCTCCATCTACTTACTTCTCTCTCTTAATTATGGTGATTTCAACTCTTCCTGAGAGAACAGCCAGAGTTGCGTGCACCGTGTTGGTGAATGTGATTTTTCGTCTGCCTCACCATCATGTAGTGGGAAACAGCAAGTGTTTATAATAAGAATAATAAGTATAATAATAATAATAATAAATAATAATATAATAATAATAATAATAATAATATATTAATATTAAGAGTCTTGATTTTCCCATGGTTATTTAGATGTGAGGGAGGAAGAGAGGTGGAGAGGGACAGAGGGAGGGAGGGGAGAGAGAAATCATGAGTGGGAGGGCCAGGAGGTGTCAGGAGGGGAAAAGATTACTTGATCGACTCTGACTTATGTTACACAGGTTACTGCCTTATTGTAATAAACTGTATATAAAATAAGGAGTTTATATTGTAAGGAAAACAGCTGACATTATAAATAATATCAGCTCTCTTTCCTTACAGTATATATATATATATATATATATATATATATATATATATATATATATATATATATATATATATATATATATATATATATATATATATATATATATATAATTCCTTATTTTATATACAGTTTATTACAATAAGGCAGTAACCTGCATGATACTTAGAATTAGCACCAATCATCTACGTAGAGATGGCAGCCTCCGCGCATCTGTGAAGAGCTAGGTGAATCCCCCCACTGACTGAGCTCTTCAAGAACATACATCAAGTGTGCACTGAACACTGTAACACTTACCAGGATGAGTGTAGACTGCACTTAACACACTGATAGCATGAAGCTCTCTTGCAGACAAAATATCCATACAATTCCTTACTACGTAAGTCTCCTGAATTACCTTCTTGTCTATGGCATTTGTGCAATTCTTAACATAGTGTCAGATAATTAAATACTAGACATACCTGGATGTCTCTCAGTATACAAGGGGATTACTCTAAGCTGTGAGTGACTGATGACAGTCCTACACTGCCTCACTACACTGTAGATATTAAAGAACATGAAGGCACAATACCAGTCATGGTATTGTGCCATTTTATTCTTAATAGACCCCGCAGGTAAGAGTCTCATTCTTTCCAACTTTTTTCACTGTAAACATTGTCCAGACTTTATGGTAAATGAAAGGTATATACAGGGGTTGAGAGACACTGTACACACTCTTGTGAGCGCTGAGGTCCCATAATTAGTAATCCACAGGGGTATTTATCGCTCGCACCTGACACCACAAGACTGTCTCTTCCTCCCCCGCTCTTAGCTACATTGTAGCTGACGGGTGCCCATCTCAAATCAAAACTTTGGCCCAGGGTAGGTCTCCCTTCTGAAAACTTGGATTGACAGCTGCACGCTAATAGGTGTTTCTTAATCTTAGAATACCTTAACGCTACATTTAATGTCGTCAATTTAACCTGACTAAAATCGCACCCTTGTATAGGAGCCTATGTTGACTTTGCACCTACAGTAATGTTTAAGGTAAGAGATATGACAGCAAGACCTGGCACGAAGGGAGAGAGACTTGTCTAGAGAGAGGAGGGCTTGACACCCCTCTCCTCCCATAGGCCTACCAAATCCTTCTCTTGTCGGAAATTACACAGATTTTCCACGAGAGGATCAGTGAATAAGAACTGGAAGAAAATTAATGATACTCTCTCCTTTTATTAAAATAAAGGATAAATGAGCAGTTTGCTGCCATAAAGGAGAGGAAGTGAAGGAGCATAATGAGAGGCAGGAGGAGGAAGAAGAAGATTGGAAGGAGTAAATGAAAAAAGACGAGAAATCATATTTTGTATCGTTTTTCTGGTATATTCACTTGAGAAGTGATCGCCAAGATGCCTGTGACCACAGACACGTGTAAAACCATTCAACTAGGCTGAATGGTACTAAAAATACCGAAACTACGGTGTTATGACTGAGTATTTCTAAACCCACATGATTATTCATTGCAAAGCGTAGTGGAGGCTCGAACCTCCGTTCACCAAGTGGGACACAGCACGCGAACTATGGTATTTACCAGTGCATAACGTTCACAGAATTACCATTCCAATACATGTACGTCATTACCCACAAGCTGTATAGGGAAAGTCGGCTGCTAACCAAGGATATTTCGCATCAGATACGCAAGTAATTTATCATAGGTGGGGAGCTTGAAGGCTCTCCTCCTCATCTCCACTCGAAACACAACCAGTATTTAACTACGTTTGATAACAAGATGTTTTATTGTTTTCAGTGATATTTGGTTTATTGTACTGTTCCTGATTAAATGATACAATGTTCATTTTCAATAAAATTGTATCCAGAGCTTTGTCTGTTCATTAATCCGTGACTGTTACTGTCTTAAACTGTGACTGTTAGGCCTATAACTGTGAATGTTAGTCTTAAATGTGAAGTACTGCCTTATAACAGTGTTACTACTATAAACTGTGACAGTTACTGTCTTATAACTGTGACTGTTACGGCCTTATACTGTGATGTTACTGTCTAAACTGTGAATGTTACGCCTTAAAATGTTATGCCTTATAACTGTGACTGTTACAACCTATTAACAGTGAATTACTGCTTATAACAGTGAACTGTTACTGCTTAAACAGTGTTACTGCTTATAACTGTGATGTTACTGCTTATAACTGTGACTGATACTGCCTTATAACAGTGACCGTTACTCTTAAATAATGGTGACTGTTACTCCCTTATAACGTGACATGTTACTGCATTATAACAGTGACGCTTACCCTTAAACTGTGACTGTTACTGCCTTATAAAGTACCGTTACTGCCTTAATAACAGTGACTTTATGCCTATACATGACTGTTACGCCTAAACGTGATGTTATGCTTATAACAGTGGTTAACTGCCTTATAACTGGACTGTTACGCCTTGTAACAGTGACTGTCTACTGCTTATAACATGTTACTGCCTTATATGTGCTGTTACTGTTATCATGTGACTGTTACTGCCTTATAACAGTGACCGTTACTGCCTGTAACAGTGACTGTTATGCTTATATTTTTGAACTGTAACTTGTTTACAGTGACCGTTACTGTCATCTGTAACAGTGACTGTTACTGCCTTATAACTGTGACTGTTACTGCCTTATAACTGTGACTGTTACTGTCTTATAACTGTGAATGTTACTGCCTTATAACAGTGTTACTACCTTATAACTGTGACTGTTACTGTCTTATAACTGTGACTGTTACGGCCTTATAACTGTGACTGTTACTGTCTTATAACTGTGAATGTTACTGCCTTATAACAGTGTTACTGCCTTATAACTGTGACTGTTACTGCCTTATAACAGTGACCATTACTGCCTTATAACAGTGACTGTTACTGCCTTATAACAGTGTTACTGCCTTATAACTGTGACTGTTACTGCCTTGTAACAGTGACTGTTATTGCCTTATAACTGTGACTGTTACTGCCTTATAACAGTGACCGTTACTGCCTTGTAACAGTGACTGTTACTGCCTTATAACTGTGACTGTTTCTGCCTTATAACAGTGACCGTTACTGCCTTATAACAGTGACTGTTACTGCCTTATAACAGTGTTACTGCCTTATAACTGTGACTGTTACTGCCTTGTAACAGTGACTGTTATTGCCTTATAACTGTGACTGTTACTGCCTTATAACAGTGACCGTTACTGCCTTGTAACAGTGACTGTTACTGCCTTATAACTGTGACTGTTTCTGCCTTATAACAGTGACCGTTACTGCCTTATAACAGTGACTGTTACTGCCTTATAACAGTGTTACTGCCTTATAACAGTGACCGTTACTGCCTTATAACAGTGACTGTTACTGCCTTATAACAGTGACCGTTACTGCCTTATAACAGTGACTGTTACTGCCTTATAACTGTGACTGTTACTGCCTTATAACAGTGACCGTTACTGCCTTATAACAGTGACTGTTACTGCCTTATAACAGTGTTACTGCCTTATAACTGTGACTGTTACTGCCTTGTAACAGTGACCGTTACCGCCTTATAACAGTGACTGTTACTGCCTTATAACTGTGACTGTTACTGCCTTATAACAGTGTTACTGCCTTATAACAGTGTTACTGTCTTATAACTGTGACTGTTACTGCCTTGTAACAGTGACCGTTACTGCCTTATAACAGTGACTATTACTGCCATATTAGTGGTGGTTCTCTTTTGTTTTCTTCACGCCCAAAATACAACAGGTTCCATTCTTCTCTCTCTCTCTCTCTCTCTCTCTCTCTCTCTCTCTCTCTCTCTCTCTCTCTCTCTCTCTCTCTCTCTCTCTCTCTCTCTCTCTCTCTCTCTCTCTCCCTCTCCCTCTCTCTTATTGCTTCCCTTCTTCAGGTTACTCTCATTTTCTCTCTCTGGTCTCATATCCCTCTTCCCGCTACGCTGTTTCCTTCTCCTGTTCTCTATCGTTGTTTAAGAACTGAGAAACACATTCCACTTTCACTGCTGTATTCCCGTTGTACATCTTACTTACTCACTCCTTCACTCACTCACTCATTCCCTTACTCATTAACTACGTTACTTCCTCACTCATTCAGTCAGTCACACCCTCATTCACTAACTCCCTTGCTCACTCACTCCCATATTTCCTCAGTCATTCATTTACTCCCTCACTCACTTCCTCACTCACTTCCTCACTCACTTCCTCACTCACTTCCTCACTCACTTCCTCACTCATTCCCTGACTTACTGTTCCTCAGGGATGTGGACGGAGGCGAAGACTGGCAATAAAACAACAGAGAAAAAAGAGAACTGTGAAGCCAGTTTCCTGCAGAAGTGTATGGACCAGCTACAGGCCATCAACAAGGACCACAACCTGGCCTTCGCCTCCACGGAGCTTGAACTCAATAGGATGTGCAGGTGAGGCATCCTGGGGGAGGGCGGTGGAAGAGGAGAGAGGAGAGGAGGCAGAAGGTGGAGAGAGAAGAGAGGGAGGAGAGCATGTGGGGAGAAAAGAATGGTAGACTTTGTCAAATATAGAAGAGAAAGGGGTTGAAGAAGGTAAGAAAGAAGGGAAGGAAAAGGAGGGTGGAGAAGAGGCAAATGGAAGAGAGGAAGAGAGACGGGGAATTAAAGAAGATTAGGGAGCATGAAAGACAGGGAATAAAGGAGGGAAAGTGTAAGAGGTAAACACAAAAAAAAAAGGAAAAAAAAAATAGAAAGAGGTTAAGGGAGAGAGAGAAAAAAAAGAAACGAGAGAGAGAGAGAGAGAGGAGAGAGGAGAGAGAGAGAGAGAAGAAGAAGGAAGGAAGCAACAGGTTCAAAAAATTACAAATAATCAGAAGAGAGAGAGAGGAGGATTAGGACAGAGAAATGAACATATGAAAGATGAGAGAGGAAGAGAAGAAAATACTAATCATTAAAATAGGAGAGGCACGAAACAATAGGGAGCAGAGGAGATGCGATTAAATATTAGATTTAGATTTTAGATTTAAAATTTAGATTTTAGATTTAGATTTTGCCGCTGAAGCGGCTAGTTTAGTGCGTCGTGTACCCAGCCTATGGACGGCAATAAGTCTAAAACTAGGACCTAGAAGAGCTAACAGGAAAATAGTATCTGTCTATCTATCTATCTATCGTGCCTAATAGACCGAACACCCTTAAAAGTGGACATTTCCCTATTTTTTAAATTGATAAAAATATGCCTGATTCTGAAATATTTAATTTTTTGTACTAAACTTAACTTAGGAACCTCACCTAACCTAACTTAGGAACCTCACCTAACCTAACTTAGGAACCTCACCTAACCTAACTTAGGAACCTCACCTAACCTAACTTAGGAACCTCACCTAACCTAACTTAGGAACCTCACCTAACCTAACTTAGGAACCTCACCTAACCTAACTTAGGAACCTCACCTAACCTAACTTAGGAACCTCACCTAACCTAACTTAGGAACCTCACCTAACCTAACTTAGGAACCTCACCTAACCTAACTTAGGAACCTCACCTAACCTAACTTAGGAACCTCACCTAACCTAACTTAGGAACCTCACCTAACCTAACTTAGGAACCTCACCTAACCTAACTTAGGAACCTCACCTAACCTAACTTAGGAACCTCACCTAACCTAACTTAGGAACCTTACCTAACCTAACTTAGGAACCTTACCACTAAACCTAACTTAGGAACCTCACCTAACCTAACTTAGGAACCTTACCTAACCTAACTTAGGAACCTCACCTAACCTAACTTAGGAACCTTACCTAACCTAACTTAGGAACCTCACCTAACCTAACTTAGGAACCTTACCTAACCTAACTTAGGAACCTCACCTAACCTAACTTAGGAACCTTACCTAACCTAACTTAGGAACCTCACCTAACCTAACTTAGGAACCTCACCTAACCTAACTTAGGAACCTCATCTAACCTAACTTAGGAACCTCACCTAACCTAACTTAGGAACCTCATCTAACCTAACTTAGGAACCTCACTAACCTAACTTAGGAACCTCATCTAACCTAACTTAGGAACCTCACTAACCTAACTTAGGAACCTCACCTAACCTAACTTAGGAACCTCATCTAACCTAACTTAGGAACCTCACCTAACCTAACTTAGGAACCTCACCTAACCTAACTTAGGAACCTCATCTAACCTAACTTAGGAACCTCACCTAACCTAACTTAGGAACCTCACCTAACCTAACTTAGGAAACCTCATCTAAACCTATAACTTAGGAACCTCATCTAACCTAACTTAGGAACCTCACCTAACCTAACTTAGGAACCTCACCTAACCTAACTTAGGAACCTTCCTACCTAACTGAACCCACTAACCTATTAGGAACCTCACCTAACCTAACTTAGGAACTCACCTAACCTAACTTAGGAACCTCACCTAACCTAACTTAGGAACCTTACCTAACCTAACTTAGGAACCTCACCTAACCTAACTTAGGAACCTCACCTAACCTAACTTAGGAACCTCACCTAACCTAAACTTAGGAACCTCACTCTAACCTAACTTAGGAACCTTACCTAACCTAACTTAGGAACCTTACCTAACCTAACTTAGGAACCTCATCTAACCTAACTTAGGAACCTCACCTAACCTAACTTAGGAACCTCACCTAACCTAACTTAGGAACCTCCTACTTAGACCATAACTTAGGAACCTCACCTAACCTAACTTAGGAACCTCACCTAACCTAACTTAGGAACCTACCTAACCTAACTTAGGAACCTCACTCTAACCTAACTTAGGAACCTCATCTAACCTAACTTAGACCTCACTACCTAACTAGGAACCTCATCTAACCTAACTTAGGAACCTCATCTAACCTAACTTAGGAACCTCATCTAACCTAACTTAGGAACCTCACCTAACCTAACTTAGGAACCTCACCTAACCTAACTTAGGAACCTCATCTAACCTAACTTAGGAACCTCACCTAACCTAACTTAGGAACCTCACCTAACCTAACTTAGGAACCTCACCTAACCTAACTTAGGAACCTCATCTAACCTAACTTAGGAACCTCATCTAACCTAACTTGACCTCACTAACCTAACTTAGGAACCTCATCTAACCTAACTTAGGAACCTCACCTAACCTAACTTAGGAACCTCATCTAACCAAACTTAGGAACCTCACCTAACCTAACTTAGGAACCTCACCTAACCTAACTTAGGAACCTCATCTAACCTAACTTAGGAACCTCATCTAACCTAACTTAGGAACCTCATCTAACCTAACTTAGGAACCTCATCTAACCTAACTTAGGAACCTCACCTAACCTAAACTTAGGAACCTCATCTAACCTAACTTAGGAACCTCACCTAACCTAACTTAGGAACCTCACCTAACCTAACTTAGGAACCTCACCTAACCTAACTTAGGAACCTCATCTAACCTAACTTAGGAACCTCATCTAACCTAACTTAGGAACCTCACCTAACCTAACTTAGGAACCTCACCTAACCTAACTTAGGAACCTCATCTAACCTAACTTAGGAACCTCATCTAACCTAACTTAGGAACCTCACCAACCTAACTTAGAACTCACCTAACCTAACTTAGGAACCTCACCTAACCTAACTTAGGAACCTCATCTAACCTAACTTAGGAACCTCACTAACCTAACTTAGGAACCTCATCTAACCTAACTTAGGAACCTCATCTAACCTAACTTAGGAACCTCATCTAACCTAACTTAGGAACCTCACCTAACCTAACTTAGAAACCTCACCTAACCTAACTTAGGAACCTCACCTAACCTAACTTAGGAACCTCATCTAACCTAACTTAGGAACCTCATCTAACCTAACTTAGGAACCTCACCTAACCTAACTTAGGAACCTCACCTAACCTAACTTAGGAACCTCATCTAACCTAACTTAGGAACCTCACCTAACCTAACTTAGGAACCTCATCTAACCTAACTTAGGAACCTCACCTAACCTAACTTAGGAACCTCACCTAACCTAACTTAGGAACCTCACCTAACCTAACTTAGGAACCTCATCTAACCTAACTTAGGAACCTCACCTAACCTAACTTAGGAACCTCACCTAACCTAACTTAGGAACTCACCTAACCTAACTTAGGAACCTCACCTAACCTAACTTAGGAACCTCATCTAACCTAACTTAGGAACCTCATCTAACCTAACTTAGGAACCTCACCATAACCTAACTTAGGAACCTCATCTAACCTAACTTAGGAACCTCATCTAACCTAACTTAGGAACCTCACCTAACCTAACTTAGGAACCTCATCTAACCTAACTTAGGAACCTCACCTAACCTAACTTAGGAACTCACCTAACCTAACTTAGGAACCTCATCTAACCTAACTTAGGAACCTCACCTAACCTAACTTAGGAACCTCACCTAACCTAACTTAGGAACCTCATCTAACCTAACTTAGGAACCTCATCTAACCTAACTTAGGAACCTCACCTAACCTAACTTAGGAACCTCACTAACCTAACTTAGGAACCTCATCTAACCTAACTTAGGAACCTCACCTAACCTAACTTAGGAACCTCATCTAACCTAACTTAGGAACCTCACTAACCTAACTTAGGAACCTCATCTAACCTAACTTAGGAACCTCACCTAACCTAACTTAGGAACCTCACCTAACCTAACTTAGGAACCTCATCTAACCTAACTTAGGAACCTCACCTAACCTAACTTAGGAACCTCACCTAACCTAACTTAGGAACCTCATCTAACCTAACTTAGGAACCTCTCCTAACCTAACTGAGGAACCTCACCTAACCTAACTTAGGAACCTCATCTAACCAAACTTAGGAACCTCACCTAACCTAACTTAGGAACCTCATCTAACCAAACTTAGGAACCTCACCTAACCTAACTTAGGAACCTCATCTAACCAAACTTAGGAACCTCACCTAACCTAACTTAGAACCTCATCTAACCAAACTTAGGAACCTCACCTAACCTAACTTAGGAA